AAGGACTTTTTTAAGATATTTTTCAACAGGCGTGGATTTTTTAAGGGCTATCAACAGGCGTGGATTTTTGAAGGGCTATCAACAGGCGTGGATTTTTTAAAGATATTTTCAAGGAGTTTTTAAGATATTTTTCAACAGGCGTGGATTTTTTTAAGGGCTATGAACAGGCGAGGATTTTTTTAAGGGCTATCAACAGGCGTGGATTCGTTAAAGAATATTTTTTCAAGGGCGTGGATTTTTTAAAGAAAATTTTTTCAAGGGCGTGGATTTTTTAAAAAATATTTTTCAAGGGATGGGATTTTTTAAAGAATATTTTTTCAAGGGATGGGATTTTTTAAAGGATATTTTTTCAAGGGATGGGATTTTTTAAAGAATATTTTTTCAAGGGCGTGGATTTTTTAAAGAATATTTTTTAAAGGGCGTGGATTTTTTTGAAGATATTTTTTCAAGCAGCCAACAAGGCGTGGATTTTTTTGAAGATATTTTTTCAAGCAGCCAACAAGGCGTGGATTGTTTTAAAGATATTTTTTCAAGCAGCCAACAAGGCGTGGATTGTTTTAAAGATATTTTTCAAGGACTTTTTTAAGATATTTTTCAACAGGCGTGGATTTTTTTAAGGGCTATGAACAGGCGAGGATTTTTTTAAGGGCTATCAACAGGCGTGGATTCGTTAAAGAATATTTTTTCAAGGGCGTGGATTTTTTAAAGAAAATTTTATTAAGGGCGTGGATTTTTTAAAAAATATTTTTCAAGGGATGGGATTTTTTAAAGAATATTTTTTCAAGGGATGGGATTTTTTAAAGAATATTTTTTCAAGGGATGGGATTTTTTAAAGGATATTTTTTCAAGGGATGGGATTTTTTAAAGAATATTTTTTAAAGGGCGTGGATTTTTTTAAAGAATATTTTTTAAAGGGCGTGGATTTTTTTAAAGAATATTTTTTCAAGGGCGTGGATTTTTTAAAGAATATTTTTTCAAGGGCATTGATTTTTTAAAGAAGGGCTATCACAGGCGTGGATTTTTTAAAGATTTTTTTTAAAAATATTTTTTCAACTAGCCAATAGGTCTTTCTAAGACCTATTTTGAAGAAATAACCCACCCTCCCCTTTCTTTTGAATGTTCTTAATATACCCCTCACTTACCTTGCTGTTGTACAGTCGCGATATAAAATATCAAAGTCCTTGCAACACAACAACTTGCAACGATTCACCCCCGGCTGTATGGCACCCAAACCGCGCAATATTCGCACCTGTTCCACATTGCATACCAACGGTACAATATCAAGACGTTTCAGTTTCGTATAGACCGTATGTAGGCCACCGACCAAATGTTTCAGAAACAATTCAAAAGCTTGCGGCAGGCACAGCATTGTCTCACCGCTTATTATAAAGGCAGCAACCTTTTGACCACGATATTCGACCAATTTACATTCATTGGCACTAGGGTCTGAGGTGGAAATTGGTGGTGGACTATTATAGGTTCGTGGTGGTACATGATGATGGGCTGCGGCCATCAGTTCCAATGGTGAAGCGTGATGCATCATTTGCAATGAATTGAGTAGGCCCAAAGAATGTGGTGGCAGACCATGGGGCATGCGTGGCGGTAAACCGGCCGGCAGACCATTTGGTGTGGGCACCCCACCCATATGGGGTGGTGGTGATAGCTGATGCTGCTGTTGTTGTTGCTGCATTTGTTGCATCATACTGTGATTCAATGAGGTGACCGGACTAACGGCATTGCCATGACGTGTGGGCGATGAGGCTGGCGAACAGCTGGATCCCCGACCGGTATGCGATGAACGTCCATTGGTACCACGTTCATCACCACGTTCTGTACCGCGACTGCTACTGCTGTCACGTGCTCCATTTTGTTGTTGTTGCTGGGCCTGCTGCTGCTGTTGTTGTTGCTGCTGCTGATGATGCATCAGCATTGTGGCGGAATTCATGGCGTTAATTTGTTGTTGGTGTTGTTGAAGATGGAGATGATGATAGGCGGATGAATAGTTAGGACTTAATTTTGGGTGTAAAGGACTTTTGTTGTTGTTATTGTTAATAATATTATTGTTGTTGTTTATTAAAATAATATCGTTATTATTATTGTTGTTGTTGTTATTCAGATTATTGTTCATTTCTTGTGCTATGGCATTTAAATGAAATTCACTTTTCACTTTAATCAAGGCCCCTCGCGTTGTGGCTTGATCTGCGCTAATTTTTGCGGAATTTTCAAATGATAATAATTGTTTTTCACATTGATTCGACTCAACACAATTCGAAATCATACTAGTCTAGTGATCAAATTCATAGTGTCTGTGGTGGGGAAGTTTACTTTTTGTTTTTTTTTTCACTTTTTTCACGCACTCACTTTATACAGTTAATGTCCTGTTTTTTTAAAGCTGTAAAAAAAAAAGGAAAGAGGGATTATATTATTTTAATAATATTATTGAATTTTAATTGTGTTTTTTTTAGTTAAATATTGTAATATAAAATACAGTTGGTCTTTTTATTGTTATATATAATAAGTCTTTAAAGGTATCCAAAATGAAGAGTAAAGTTAAATGTTAGAGGTATTTTTTCAGAACTTCTAAAAATTAAAAAAATAAGTCATTTTTAAGGACTACTATAAGCGTGGATATTTCAAAAATATGTTGTAAATAACTGTTAGAGGAGTGGAATTTTTGTAAAAATATTTCTTCAAGGACTACTAAAGGCAGAAACTGTTTTAAAATAATTTTTCGTTGAATATTAGAGCATGAAATATAAAAAATATTTTTCAATAACTACCAACATGTCAGGATTTTTTGAAAATATTTTTAAGGGCTACATAAAGGTGTGGATTTTTTTACACATTTTTGAAGGGCTTCAAACAGGGGTGGATTTTTAAAAAAATATTTTGATGGGCTATAAATAGGCGTGGATTCTTAGAAAATATTTTGAAGGGCTATAAACAAGCGTGGATTTAAAAAAAAAAAATATCCTGAAGGGCTGTAAATAGGCGTGGATTTAATAAAACATTTATTGATGTGCTGCAAACAGGCGTGGTTTTAATGAAACATTTATTGAAGGGCTGCAAACAGGCGTGGTTTTAATGAAAACTATTTTTAAAGGACTGCAAGCAGGCGTGGATTTAATGAAAAATATTTTAGAAGTGGATTTTTTGAATGACTACAAACGGGAGTGGGTTTTCTGAAAATATGTTTTGAAAGGCGACAAATTAAGGTAAAGGCTGAATGACTACAAACGGGAGTGGATTTTCTGAAAATATTTTTTGATGGGCTACAAATTAGGGTAAAGGTGGATTTTTCGAATGACTACAAACGGGAGTGGATTTTCTGAAAATATGTTTTGAAGGGCTACAAATAAAGGTAGATTGTTTGAAAAAAAAAATTAATATATGCGGAAACTCTTTCAAAATAATTTCCATGGAATATTAGACACCTGAAAATATCGCTGGTTTAAGAAATATTTATATTATTTAGATGAACCTTAGGCTTTGAATAACTGTATATTTTCATCTTATCTGTATCCTGATATTTTGAAAATTCTTGACATTATCTTAAATTTAATTTAATAATGTTACAAACAAATTATAATACTAAAAAATGTTTTTTCTTTCAGATTTGAACAAGTAATGATTAGTACTTTCCCAATGCGGAGTGACAAACATTTTATATCTACCGGGTAAGTGCTGTAGTTAGATTTTTTTATTTATTTTATTTATTTCCCTTCCTTTAATATGTCTACAAAATTTCAATAGAATACCAAAATATATTTGGATGTTGAGTATTGGATTGTTGATTCTTGTTTTCTCTTTTTTTTTTTTTTTTTTTGGCTCATCTTCGATTATTATCATCAGGGGCTGTCTTAAAAAAAAAACATTTTTACATGAATATATTTACAAAATTGTTTGCTAATTACATTTTTATGCTTATTTTAAAACTATTCGTCTTCCACACTAATTGAATTGAATTGATCAACTAATTCTTTTGTGTGTTTTTTTTTCGTATCCGTCTTATAATTCATGCGAATTTCCACAGTGTAACTTCGAAAAAAATAACATCCGAATATTTGCGACAATTACAATTACATATTATTACAAGATGTTATATTTCAAAAATGTTTAAGTTCTTCAATGGCGTCTCGATTCCTGGCTTCACTTTTATCAATCCATGTTGTTTTTTTTTTGAGTTTCTCATTATATATGATCCAAGTATCCGAGTTTTCTTTTTTTATTATTTTTACAAGCTCTCGTTTAAACCTTGTCCTTTGCCTTGTACCTTGCCTACTTTGTAGGATACGTTGATAAGTCCACATTTCGAAGAATTCCAATTTCTTAATATCAACGACTTTGATTGGCCATACTTCTGATGCATATAATAAGACCGATCGAAACATATGCTTTACTGAAACGTATTTTTTTCTTTTGAATTTTACCAATTTTCATTTATTTTGACGCCGAGGTTTTTGAAATTTTCTACTTCATCGATAAGTATATTATAAATATTTTCAAGTGCATTTTGACTTCCTATTGTGGTGGATGGATTTGATATTTGTTTTATTGTCCTGGTTTCTACCAAAAGGCTAATGATATTGGAACGTGTTAAACGACGTCGCCTTGGGGATGCATCGGACCCAACGGATATGTCCGAATCTGTGTTAGTATTTCTGATAATTATCTCATAGGCCCTAGGAATAAATATTCTGTTTTTAATTAATCTGGCATGTCTGCCATATCGAGCATTTATCCTTTACTAACACGCGCTGTTCTTGATAAAAGGAACATTTTCATTTTCTTAAATTTTACTAGAAAAATAATTGTAAATACCTTTTTGAATTAAATATTGTAAAATCAAGTTAAATATTACTTCTGCGTTCTTTCTTTTTCGATGCACAAGGCTATATGTACCCGAATTATTTTCCCAATATTTTTTGGGGTATTCGGAAACTCGAAATGCAGCACATGAGTGATTATCTTAATTAATATTTGAACTGTAGGAAGAATTTTCGATGGGAAGCATTTATTTTATTGATATAAAATGGCAATTTCTGAAAACATGGAAAAATTTTATTTCTGAAAGACTGAACCTCGAACATTGAGGTAACATATTTGAATGATTTACAGTCTTCAGCAGAACCAAAGTACATAACCATATTGTTCTTAAAATGTACAATTTATTAAAGCAAAAATTGATTCAAATTTTTATAAATCCGAAAACTTTTTCGGATTACAGCATCGAAAATGGTGACAGTTAGTCTTCACATACTCCCCACAGCTCCTCTATAATATCCTTTCCAGATGGTCTGCACAACGAATTTTTTAATGAGTCCCAAATAAACATCGGAATAATAACTTGTATTTTCAAAAAAAATTATTTTTTTCGTAATGGACTGGAAAACAATTTTAGTTTTCATATTGTTCAATAAAAACTATTTATAAATACTGATTTGCAAAACATGATCGGAATACAAAATCCAAAGACTTCAAGTAAATGTTTCAATATTTTGTAAATAAAGTTTAATATTATTTATTTTCAACATAAACAAATTCCGTAGTTTGACTACTAAAGAGTTATTATTACCCGGATGTAAAAAAAAACTTCACTTATTAAAAAATAAACAAATATATTTTATTTTTCACCTGTCTAAATTGAAAAATGTCATGCCAATTTGGACATTTGTAAATAATTCTCAGTTATATATTAAAATAAAAAAAATCTCAATATTTAATATTTATTTCAATTGAACTCTTTTGGTTCAGTTTTTATTTTATTATTACTTTTATTTCAATAACATTATTCTATTTCACTTAAATATGTTCACAAAAAGACCAACTGTATTATATTTATATAATTCCACAATATTATTTTTTTAATAATTGTTTAATAGGTTTGCAAAGATATTCACCTTTTTCCAATTTTATATAGTTTTCTTTTATTTTTCTTTTAAAATGAATTTCTAAAATATAGAAAATTTTATTTTTAATTAATATTTATTTTATTTCATTTGTTATTATTAATTTGAATTTATTTTCAATTGCAAAAAATTGTCCACAATTAACCCGAAACACGAAAGCCCGTAGCATTATACTTGGCGACAATCCGATTGCAATTAAATGCGTTGTGTTTGTAAAACGAGATGATTGGCCGAGAGATGGCCAAAACTTGTTCTTCTTCAATTTATTTTGTTATTTGTTTTATTTTTTTCTTATTTATTTTTCTTTGTCACTTATTGTTCTGTAATTATAAAAATGTATTTCTTTTTTGTTTTTCCAAATCTGTAATACACGTTTAGTTAGTTATGTCTCGGTTGTCCAACCACCGTTGCGCTGTTGTTAACCGACGGCGTGTCACACGACGTATGATTATTGCTCGAAAACGTTAAGCAATCGTAACCGAAAACCAAACGTAATTCGAAATGGAAACGAACAAAACGAGATGCAAAAACAACAGCAACAACATCAAAACAAAATGAATGAAATGGAAAAAAAGAATCAGACAAATGAATACAACAACAATACGGACGACGACGACATCAACCAAACAGAAACGTTTGATGAGGATGAAGATGGGGAAGATGAGGTTGGTGGTGGTTGGTTGGCTGACGCCGCCAGCCAAACAATTGTCGAAATTGTCCTCACAAATACATACAAACAAATGTCACTTAAGAAATTTTGTTGCCGTTGTTGTTGTTGCTGCTGCAGGAAATTAAAATAGGGGTGGGGGTACGCACACAGTCACATATACACTCACACACACACACACACAAAGATTTATTTTATTTTTTCTTTCTTTCGTTTTACACTGACTGTCAAATACTAAAATGATGTCTCTCCAATAAAATGTCCGTGTGACGTTCTGTCGTCGTCGTTGGCGACACCAACTGAACTGAATCGACAAACACCAACAATATAGCCCGGCAGTTTGGCAGAAATAATATTTTTTTCTGTGAGTTTTCAAACAGCAAAGACACTTTACAAATAATGGAA